ATCAGTCCAAATTATAGCATATGCAGACGACGTGGACATTATAACAAGCACCAGGGCGAGAAATGCGGAAATTCTAACCGAGCTAGTAGCAGCAGCAGAACGAATAGGGTTACATATAAATCAAAATAAAACCAAATTCATGGCGACTAACACAAACACAAGAGCTGAAAATGTTGACGCAGATTTGATCATCAATGACCAAAACTTCGATGAAGTCAAAGAGTTCATATATCTAGGGACATCGGTTAACCCTAATAATAACATATCTGAGGAAATAAAAAGGCGAATAATAATTGCAAACAGGTGTTATCATGATCAATCAAAGTACTTAGCTAACAAACGTCTGTCTCAAAAAACTCTTATAAAGCTGTATAGAACAGTGATATTCCCCGTTCTCATATATGGATCAGATACATGGACGCTAACTAAAACATGAATCCGCTTTATCGATTTTTGAAAGAAAGGTGATACGCAAGATATTCGGAGCAATCTGTGAGAACGGAATATGGAGGCGTAGATATAACTTTGAACTGCAGAATATCTACAAGCATACGTTTGGTGGTAAAGAATTATCACTATAATTAAGCGAAACCACATGCAAAGGTAGGACATGTAGCATGGATCCCTGAATCGAACATGATAAAAAAGATTCTAACAGCGCAACCCATGGGAATGAGAAGACGGGGTAGCTTGAGAAAGCTTGAGAATGTCGAGGCCCTATAAGGGCTGTAGCACCATGATGATGATCGAGCTTTGAAAATGGCTATTCTCGTGATTTTTAAGACCTTAACTTGTTTATAACTCGAAAACGATGCATTTAAGAAATAAATTAATAACAGCATTTTTTGTTCAAAATGAGCCAATTATCTAAAAAAACTTGGTACGCTAAAAAAAATTAATTTTACAATCTTTAAAAAAAATTGCTTAAACCATTTTTGACCATCATTTTCTCTTGGCAAGATCCACTTTTGTTTTAAGAGGACTATTTCAAGTAAGATTATGAGTTTAAACTTTAAGAACTTATAATGTCTTATAATATAAAGACGCATACAGATATCCGAGCCAAACGGTATACGTACCGTACGCGTACAGATCCTTGAAACTATATCTACATCGTACTGATCGCATACTTATCTCGATCCATGGAAAGCGATAAAACCAACAACGAACACACATGTGCGAAATGATAAATTTTATTTATAATTTGGGTACTGATTTATCGTGTTTCTGTTTTTGCTTGTTTAACAAAAATAAAAATATGTACAATAATCAGTTTACTGAAAAATGTTCGCTGCATCTAGTAGCGCCATCCAAACTAAAAGACGAGCTTCTTTTGAAGTCGTGGAATAAACCGCAACAATTTGGTTCGTGACGAGTCACGATGAAACAGTACGCATACAGTAGGCAAGCGGTTTTTTTCTGCCGTACACATTAACGAATATAGCGTTCTCATACCGTTTGACTCGTATATTGTACCGAGCTTAATATTATATAAAATAAATGATTTTTTGTTCTAAATATATTTTTTGAATATTAAAAAAACGGTTAGATTAAATTTAATAAAAGTTTTAGGAAAAATTGTTTATAAATAATAATTTAATAGATACTGTTATAAATGCTATTTGTTTTATTATAATTATATTTTTTAATAAATAAAAAATAAAAACATAAAATCGACTTAAGAAAAGGTTTGTTCATCCTTTAGTTATTAGCTGCTTTGTTTTTGTATAATTTTGCAATGAAAATAGGATAAATGTTATTTATTATTATATTATCTTAACGTTGTACCCAGTTTAAAAAAAAGAAAGTGCACATTTAATCCAGTAGACCCGAGATGTCATTTTTTTTCGATCTTGAAACTGTGTTGGATTTTTTAAAGCGCACAGCTGGCCCTTCATTCGGCTAGCCCCGCTCCTTTTACTCTAGTTAGACGAAAATTACTCTTTCTTTACAACACTCTTTTTAAACAGTTTCCAATAATTTTGTTTTCTCTAAAGTTTTGTGAAAAACTTTTGACTTTTCTCATAAACGATTGGTTAATTTAAGCCCTTAATGTTGTTAATTAACATAACAGTAATTTAAAAAGGGCTATCTTGACTCCTAAAGGTCGTAGGACCTCTTTTTTTCTAAAAGTTGTATTTTTAACCAGTTTTCCGAATATTTTTTGTCATTTAATTTGAACTAAATTTTACGGAGTTACTGTAAATGTTTATAAACTTAAAAGTGCTATTGATTATTAAATCATTTTGTGTACATAAATGTAATTTTTTAAACTTTTTTCTTCTTAAAGCGCCGAGCGCCTATAGTGCGTTGACGAATTATCTTAAGGCCAGACGTCTGTCTGTTGGACCACGCAAAAGCTCGCCAGTGTTATTTATGCCTGTCCAGTTCTTTATATTTCGTAGCCACGACATTTTTTTGCTACCTACTCCTCTCTTACTCTTAATCTTTCCTTGGTTAATTGGTTGAAGAGTTGCGTATTTTTTTCCTCTCGGGATATGGCCTAGATATCAAATTTTTCATTATTTGATCAGTTGAGTAATTCTCTCTCAATAGTAGCCATTCTTAAGACTTCGTCTCACTCCTATCTGGCTTTAAGCCTCACCTTATCTGTCCATGGTATGCCGAACATTCTTAGCAAGATTCACATTTCGAAGGCCTCCAATTTTTTAATGAAGAATATTTTTAACGTCCATGTCTTATTATAAATGGACTATACATACCATTTCGCCATCCTGTAGTGGAGATTGAGAGACTGATTGCGGTTATATATAGGTTTAAATTTAATAAAAGCTTGTCTAGCTTGTTCGGTACGTCATTTTATTTCTTGTTGAAGATCCCATTGGTCATTCACTATCATTCCCAAGTATTTAAATGCTTTCACTTGCTCGATTGGAGCGTTATCTACTTGCAGCTGTACCTACTCTTAAAAGTGAATTTTTTCTTATTGGCGTGCATTTAGTTTTTTCCGCATTTACATTTAAGTCATATATTTTTCCTACGGTATTTATTTTATTTAGCACCAATTACATATCATGTTCGTTGTCTGTGATTATAGCGGTGTCGTAGGCGTAAAGAATATTATTTATTAAGTACCCGTTGAACTTTATACCACAGTCACAGCCTTCGAGTGCTCCTGCAAAAACATTCTCCACATAGAGGTTGCACAGCGTAGAAGACAAAATACACCCCTGTCGTACCCCTCTTAAAATTTTAAATTCCTCTGTGTTAATTGATTTTTTCAGCTTCACTCGTGCTTTTTGATTCCAATCGAGATTCTGGATTATTCTTATATCTTTCTCGTCAATGTTAGCGTTGTGTAACATTTTTAACATTGCATTGTGTTTGACGGTGTCAACCTTCTTGGTCTCTTAGATACCACAGTGTAATTCTAGTGGACCACCTATTGTCAGTTCTTCTCGCTAAATGTCCCGCCCACTGCAACTTTAAAGATTTAATTCTATGGATTACATCAGTAACCTTGGTTTCCTGTCTGATCCATTCTATTCTTTTTCGATCTGTTATATCTTCTTCTTCTTCATGTGCCTTGTCCGTTCCGAACGTTGGCAATCAACATGGCTATTCTGACTTTGTTTACGGCAGATCTGAATAGTTCAGCAGATGACAATTGGGTTTTGCTTACTAACATCCATTTTCTTTTTGTGATATTTAGTCCGAGTCTGTATTGTGCACTTGTTTTTTGTATCTTACTCATTAGGCAACTCAGTTCCTCCATGCTACTTGCTAGAATCACAGTGTCATCAGCATACCTTATGTTATTAATTATTTCTCCATTTATCTTTATGCCTTCTGTGCTTTCCTCCAGCGCTGTCTTAAATACTTCTACTGTTATATCTAGCATGCATAATTCTATTGACCTTTGAGTTTCGATATTATCTCTTTCTTTAGTGTCCAAGTTTCGCAGCAGTATGTAATGATTGGTAGTATACACTGATCGAATGCCAGATTTATGTCTTAATTGTCCCAGGTATACATATTCGTCTACTGTCTCAAGTGCAGTATTGTTTATTATTACATCTTGAACATCCACTAGCTTGTACATGGTTTTTTTTTGTTAAGTTCATTTTTAGGCGAACTCCATTGCTAGCTGCATTTAGGTCGCTTATAAGTTCTTATAGTTCTGCAGGATTATTAGCAATCAGAACGATGTCATCTGCAAATCTTAGATGGCTGAAGTATTCTCCATCAATGGATACTCCTTTCTTTTGTCAGTTCATTTTGTTGAATATATTTTCTAGATTTGCAGTGAAGAGCTTTGGTTATATTGCGTCTCCTTGTCGGACGCCTCTTGTAGTAGGAAATTCTGGAGTGTTTTCATAAATTTTTACTTTAGCTGTTGCTTGTCTATATATTTGCTAAAGTTTCCATGTATGCTTTGTCAATGCCTTGGTTGGTCAAAGCTTCTATTACTGCCTTGGGATATATAGAATTAAAAACCTTCTCGAAATCTATAAAGGTTAATGCTAGCGGTATTTCATATTCTTTAGCTCTACTCATTAATTCTCGAAGTGCATGAATATGATCGAAGGTACTGAAGCCAGCTTCTTCTCTCGGCTGTGCAGCATCTAATGCTTTTGTTAATCTGTTATATAATCTTTGTGAATATCTTGTATACGATTGGTAGTAGACTTATAGGTCTGTAGTTTTTGATATCTTCTTTGCTACCTTTCTTATGTATATATAGTTAGTTTTATCAGCTATCCTATATAAACTAGTACAGAATAATGTCCTCTTGCGTCTTTCCATTGTAAATATTGGTATTGTGTAGTGTGGTGAAGAGCTTTTCTTTCTCGTTTTATTGAGCTGCTTGATTGGGTGATAATTAGTATTTTTTAACAGAATATGTCTTCAAGTTTGTTATATCCATAAACTGAATATCTGCTTTTTTACATTCTACGTCCTCTGCAAACCAACATACAAGAAGGCTTGTCACCAATATGCTTTCATGAAAATTATTTTAGAATAAATGCTATTTAAAATACAGGTATTATAATTTATTCTTTTAAAATTGCAAGGTCTGGAAAACACAAATTTATTGTATCACATTACCAAATATATATAATATCTATGGAATAAATATACAAAAAAATTAAGCTTAAAATATAATATAGAATCGAATTCAAAAACTGTATTATGTCAAATATTTCTAATTATGTGTATTAGGCTGTAGACGAAACTGCCAATTTCTTTAGATGGTCCATGAATACTTGAAGGGACACATCGTCAGTCAATACTGGAGCTCCAGAATCCTAAAAAATTAAAAATATGTAATTATTCATTGATATGTGTATATGTTTATTTATATAATTTACTATTGGGAATTAGCCACAATTTTAGTTAAAAATATGTTTATTTTGTTCTCAAAATACAAATTATAACAAATTTTGTTTTTGAGAAAGATTTCCGAAGTGAAAATCGAGACGTCAAAAGGAACATAATTAAACTAAAGTGGTTCATTCTCAGTAAAAATAGTAAATTTAGTATTTTTAAAATTTCTAATTTAGATGTCTATATAATAACACTTAAAAATTTTGGGCAAAACCAATGGATAGAGAAAAGTCCCACCGATTTTTTACCATACTATTCTAAAAAAGACCAGGCTGGATGCACAACTGGTAATCGACAATTTATCAGATTTCGATTCTCAGACAAATTTTAGAAAAAACACTGAAGTATGGCATAGATAATCACCACATGTTTATCAACTACAAGGCAGCCTATGACTCGGAAAACAGAGAAGAGATGTTTAGGGTAATGAGAGACCTAAGAATACTAACTTAATTTTGGTACTACGTACAAAACCTGTAACCCCAACAGCAATCCGTAATCTGTAAGCAGAGTCCAACCCCAATCTGTAAGCTTACAATATAAAACAGCAATTCATCAAAAAAGTAAACAACTTGTACCTTTGGCCCGAGGTGCTTACATACATAAAATATTTTCATTATGAAATTATTGTTATATTTTTACCTCATAAATAAATTCTATTACAAATAAAATCTATTACAAATTTATAGGTAAAATTAGGAAGTTAAGATTAATGTTTAAACAGACACAAAACAGACACACTAAATAAAGCACAAAAAGAACTAAAAAATTGATAATAGCCGAAAAAATGCAATATTTCAGAGGAGCTGGAACAGGAAAATGGGCGAAAAGTCCACTAGAAAAAGCCGAAAAATTTGTAACACACCTTAATAAAGTTTTTAAACCAAATGAGGAAAAATACTCACTGCAACACAAAACCTTACCAACTAGGACTTCTCGAAAAAAGATTCACAAAAAATGAAATAAAAAATATAAAACACAACATCGTTCCAAAAAAGGCCACCGGATACGACTTTATTACTATTATAGAAAAACTCAGCTTCAGCAACTCCCACAGAAAGAGTTCCAATTGCTGATACCGTTATTTAATTCTATAATGAGCACAGTGGAAATTATCACAGATAACAATAATACTAAAGCAAGGAAAAGAACCAGAAAATGTAAGTCCTAACGTCCTATTAGTCTTCTTCCAGTGGTTTTCAAAATTTTTGAAAAGCTGACTTTTGATCTATGTATTCTGTCTCCGGCTTCTATAGACAATGTAGCTTGGCCTATTTAAAAAAAAAAACAAAACCCTAAAAAGCCTAAAACATGACACGCAACAGTACGAGAGATGTCACATAAACTCGAAGAATACGACAAACGAGGACGTTGTGTTGTATGCTACAGCCACTTTTCTGAGAGGTACAGAAGAGCTCATGCAACCAAGAATTCTAAGCAGTGTAATACCAGGTGTACAGTCTTGAGAAAAAGTTTATGTGTTCAAATTGGTTTTTTAAGATACATACTGTTACCCTAAAATAGTTGCTTACTTGTAATCGGTATTTTCCTACCTTGTAAACCGTGTGTATCGAACACAGCCTAAATATACCGTAGAATAATAAAATATGGCAATATTTTAAATCACTATTATATAGTGTAACATTTTCAGCTACAAAAACAAAAAAATATATCGGGCTGAGTGGATAATTTTTTTGAAATGGTCCCTGGGAGTCAAAGTGTTAATACAAAATGTGTATATGTGTTAAATATATTAAATATTGAAGACTAAGTTTAAAAACCTGTACATCACTAGATGCCTCTCTGCAAGTCGTAATACTTGAATTGCCAGTCGTATTAGTTATTGTATATTATCTAAACATTTAGGTTGAGATTGTATAGATAGATTGTAATACAAGTGGGGTTAATATAAAAACCGATTAATACGAGATTACAAACTAAGGGGTTTAATTTGTTTGATTTGTAATAACTATTAAAAACAATAAACCATGTTACTTACACCTCCGTACGAATACATGTTGTTATGAGTTTGACTTGGATTTACTTTCGACAACAAAAATCTGGCTTGAGATCCGCCTTGTTCGGTATCAATATATCTCGGCATTGGGAACCTCGTTTGCAAAATTTCCTGTGCATCATCTACTGGAGCCTGTAGTAGCTGTCTAAAGTTTTCATATTCTGGCATGTCTTGATATTTTAAACTACGCCATTGGGCGATAGTCTACAAAACATATTAATTTAAAAATATACTCAGTTATTACAACAGCTTCTCAAATTATTTACTATCTTTAAGGGATTTAACCACAATTTCAGTTGAAAATGCGTTTATTTTGACGTTTCGATTTCCGAAGTGGAAATTGTGCTTAAATTCCATTAAATATAGTAACATTAAAATGTCAAAAGAAAATAGCTTCCGAATAGAATCTCAAATTTTATTATTTGCCAATAGTGACTTACCTCTCCATGGAAAATTAATATTTGGAAGAAAGTATCCATAAGTAATATTCTGTCAGGTTGAATAGAGCTAGTATCTAGTAAAACAGGCTCTGGTGGACCGTTGAAACTATAACTATACAAAATAGGTTGAATCATTATCAAAGATTGAGTAAGATCTTCCCTCATCAACATGTGTCTGTAGAATGAAGTCTCGTCTGGAGAATTATTGAATACTTGAAGAAATTGAGATCTTCTTAAGTGATACATGAACTGTGGGTAGAGACTGAAGTTTTGTCCAAGTCTGAATGAATTGGGGTCGTCCTTATTGTATTCTCCGAATTTTTGACACTAAAAATAAACAAAAAGTGAGCTAAAATGAAATCGTAGGCTTCCACGGCCAGAGTCAGAATTATAGTTTATTCGTCTTCCGGGTTTGGACCGTGTCATTTGTGAGTGACCCAAAAGTGTCGACGTTTCGCTACAATTGTATGTAGCTTCTTCAGGAGAACAAAGAAAAAGATCATCTTTCTTTGTTCTCCTGAAGAAGCTACATACAATTGTAGCGAAACGTCGAGATGAACCCATTTTTGGGTCACTCACAAATGACACGGTCCAACCCCGGAAGACGAATAAACTATAAAAAAGTGAGCTACTCAAAATATTTTATAATTTGCACCACTAAAAATTAATCGTATAAATTAAACATCGACTGTTTTTTGTACCTTAAAAATAACGTTAATACATAAATATTTCAGAGATAACCATTTGCTTAAAAAATTAAATATTTCTTCATTCAATGCTTTTTTATTCTATAAAAAACTTTATTAAAGAACTGCATATTATCTAGTTATGTAATAGTATATTTTTCCATGTGAAAAACTGTCCCGAGGCTAAGCCAATACACACCACTGTGGTATACAGTGAACCAACCAGACTTTCTTTTGCAAAAATCAGAATATTCCTCCACCGGAAATCACCAAAACCTTCCTGCTTGAAAATATTAATTCACACATATGGAGCCTGAATTTTCGACGAAAAAAAAAAGAAAAAGTCTTTTTTGTCTTAAAAATTTAAAAAGCTGAGTCAAGTTTCTCCAAGCAACTTCTCGGTAGAAAATCCTGCCACAAAAATGAACTGGAGATGCGTATTGAATAAGAAGTAGCTCATATTGATCTTACCCCGCTCCGATCCGACTTTCCTACAAACATATTAGCTTGTCTATTTACAGTAATCTTTCAAGGTGATATGTTACAACGGTACAATTTATATACTTTATAGGTACAGTTATCGTCACTATTTCAAAACAAATCTTCAACTTATGATTATGTATGTGAACTGTAAACTTTCTAGTTTAATGATATCTAGTTAAAATTTACAAAGAAAGCAGTAAATATTTTTCATAACTGTACTTAAATGAATCCAGTATTTCGTCTCTAGTATTCAGCAAATTGTTGAAACTATCGACTCCAAAAAATATGGACTTATAATAATCAGTTTGTATCCCAGTTTTCATGAATTTAGGTTACTATCACTGAGTGACTTGGCAGTTATGGTTATGTCGTTATTTAATAAGTAACATTAATAAAATATTGAACATTAGATCATCCAAAATTACAGATTTATTAAAAATCAGTACAACTGTTCCAATACCAAAAGTTAATAATACTATTAAGGCGGATGAATTTAGACCTATTGATATACTTCCGCCCATTGAGAAATTGTTAGAGTTGGTAGTATATGATCAAGTCATGGATCACATTGATAAAAATGAAATATTAATGAATAATAGTCAGTTTTTTGTAAAAAGTATTCCTGCGAAACTGCACTGCAACTTTCACTTTGTAAATTCAGGTCTGAATTGGACAATGATAATAATGAAAGGGTGGTATTCCTTGATTCAAAAAGAACTTTTGAAACTATTGATCGTAATATACTTCTCACTAAAGTAGAAGGCTATGGTGTTGGAGGAAATGTTTTTGTATGGTTTAAAGATTACTTATTGCATAGAAAGCAATAAGTGAGGATTGATGATATTACTTTACTTCTTCTGAAATTAGTGTTAATATTAGGGGTACCTCAAGTTAGTGTCTTAGGGCACCTTTTGTTCATATTGTATTTAAACGATATTAACCTGTTTGTTAAATTTGATTTCTTTAATTTGTATGCAAATGACACCCTACTTGCATGTTTTGATTAAACTTAGAAAATGATGTATCTAGAATGAATTCAGCATTACAGTCTGTTAATAAATATTTAAAGATCAACAAACTAGAGTTAAATGTTTTAAAGACGAGTGTTATGATAATAACAACTAAATATAAATACTCAAATATTGATATAAATACTATTAATCTTCAAATTGATAATGATAAAATAGAAATCATCACAACTATTAAGTATCTTGGTTTTCAATTGGATAATTTATTGTCTTTTAATGACCATTTTAATAATATATTAAAAAAGATTCAATCGACCCAATTGCAAAAATTACAAAATCGTGATATGAGAATCACTCTTGGTGGAAACCGATATACACCTGTAGCAACAATGCTTAGCATGCTGTAGTGGGTTTTATTTTAACGAAGGGTCTTTTACCTAACAATGGTATTCACTTATACAATTTTAAATAATTTGGCTCCTGTTTACTATTGTGAGTTTATTACACAGGATTGTGATATTCACTTGATTGCAATTTACACAATGTGAAAACAAAAAGGACAGCTTCAATAAACTCTTTGTTGTTTAAGGGTTTTGATCTTTTCAATAAGCTTCCTCAAACATTAAATTTTTAAAAGTTTATCTGCACAATTATTTAAAAGCAAAATAATGGACCATATCGAAAGCACCAATAGTTAGGTAGTTGTTTTCTGTGGATATTGTTTTGTATGTTTTATATTTGTAATAACTATTTGTACTAAATTTAAAGTGTAATTGTTATTTTTATCTTATTATGTATTTATGTTATAAATTGATTATTTTTGTATATATTAGGGTTTTCCCTATTTATGAATAAGTAAACTTCTTTTTAATCAATTTAATTTTTTTGCGTAATTTAAAGTCATCATAGGATCTTTACACTTCTACTGCTGAAAATTTATCATATTTTTCTTTAGCTGCTCATATGTTTGCTTTGATTTCCCTCTGTGCAGCCGTGTACCTATTCTAATATGCATTTCTATTTTTACATAACCTTCCATTGTCCATTAATTGTAATATTTCATTTGACATCCATGCTGTTTAAGTTTCGGCAATCTTGTGTTTATTCCCAGACCCTTTCATTGGAATCATTATTGATTATTAATATTTATTCTAAATTTCTTGTGTATTTTGTTGGAATTTCATATTCCTTAAACGAGATTTTGAATACAAAAATCTTTAAAATTATATAAAAATACACAGTGAACTTAAATAATGTCTTACCAATCTAATCAGCATTCTGTCAACCCATCTAAGAACATCTGGACTATCATCAGATTCTGCTCTATAAACAGCCATCCTAGCCATTATTACAGCAGCAGCTTCTTGATCGAATCCGGCACTAATATGATGTATATTAGCAGTTGCATCAGCCCAATTTCGAGCAACTGTAGTTACTCTGATTTTTCTTTGACCACTTGAATGCTAAAATTAAGGATTAATTAAAACATTATATATTTTTTATAATAGGTAGATTATTAATTAAGAGTTTAACATATGTTAACAATTCATAGGATTATTCTGAAACCAAATAGTATACTATACATATAACGATACTACTCTGTCACAAAAGTTTTTTTTTATTCTTTTAATTTTACTTTGGTGGAAATTTTCATTAAAAAGGTGGAAAGATGCAGTCAGAGAGGATATGGAGAAAATGGGATTGAGACAACGGGAAACAGTGGCACAGAACTAACAAACATGGAAGGCAATAGTAAACGCGTCAAAGACTCATGAAGTGTTTGTAACATGATTGTGGCGAATTAAACAAACAATGAACTATTACGAGAATTAATAGTAATTAAATTAACACCAACTGTATCTCCTTCGATAGCTCTGGCAAGATGAAGGAACTTTAACTCATAGGTGCAAATAATTGTCAAAATTTAAATGGTTGCAATAAACAATCACAAACAATTTATAGGTTCAGGTAAAACTAGGTGAACTTACCGCTAATTACCATGGTTTACACTACTTTACAAAACAACAACCAAAACGAATTCAATATGAGTGCATCGGTTCACTGTCGGGTTGCGTCTGTCTCTCATAAGGCGCTGGTTTCTCTGAACAGACGTAAGCCGCGGCCGTCGACGTTTGGACGTTGCGGCTAACGCCCACACTTCGTCGGTAACGGTTTAGTGGTTTCTCTAGAATAAGTCAGTTTGCTGGTAGATATCAATAGATATAGACGTCGATTATTAGGTAAGATTAAAAATACAAAAGAACTTTATAAATAATGGAAATGATAATGAAAAAAATATTGATAAAACTGTTACTTGAGGAAGGGAAGATATTGAACTAATAATTAGATCTTTAAAGAAAAGAAGACAGACTCACAATATATTTAAAAATAGAGAGAATGAAAGGACATTTACCAACTTAATTCATACGCATCTTAAATGGGATAATATAAAATTCATACAATATTTTCGACTATCACAAAAACAGCCCCTGTTCGTTATGAATTTTCAGTTCCATCTCTGTTACTATTTTAAAAACTTGTAACCTGTTTCAGCAATAATATGTGGTTTAAAGTTTGAAACAGTATCAGCCATGGACTTGAAAAATTTATGAATAGCAGATTTTTTTGGTACAGTTTCTCTCTGCGTTAAAAATTTTTCAAACAACTGATCATTCACTTGCTGCTTTTTTTCCAAAATACTGATCAAATTAAAAGATTACTTGTGTTCGCTATATGGAAGAGTGACTTGGCAGTCTCACGTTGTATAATTGTTATTAATTAAAAATTATGTTTAAATCAATTATTACATTATTAATGTAATAATTAATTTATATAAATTTAAATAAATAAACGTATTTCATCTTGTTCTTTTTTCATTTTGCTTTCGTCCACATAACGTCCAGCTGCAATGCTTCGAAATCATATGAACGGACACACGCAGCGGGTAAACGCCAACCGTCGACCGCTTGGCGTGTCTGAGAAACCAAGTGCATACACTTTTAGGCGTAGCATTCAAACGTTGACGGCAGCCGTTGTCCGTCGCCGCTGACGTGTGTTCAGAGAAACCAGCGCCTAACGACTTACGCTCTTGTGTCTTTAGCGAGATGCATTCCCCGAGCGGTACTATAGGGATCGTAGGAATACAAGGAGGACAAATGTATTGATTCGTTTACACAACCATATTTGAATTTAAACAATGATGAAATTGATTCTTTTTTGGCACTGTTTTTTACGAAACTTTTTGATAATTTTGATTATGAAAAATAAAGTAAATATTACTTTAACATAATATTGGTATTTTTATTTAAATAAGATAATTTCTATAATTTTGAAATTAAATTGAATTTGAAAACTATAAAAACATGAATTACCTGGTATTGTGTAATAAATTGTATACAGCCTCTACCACCTTGAGGTATGGGAGCAGAATGTTGATTTACAACCTCAAAGAATAAAGACATAGTAGTACTTGGTGTTAAAGTGCACATTTTCCATTGCACAGTATTACCCATACCTATTTCTGTGTCAGAAACTAAGGGGCTCTTTACATTAAGTGATACACACGAGCCAATACCTCCTTGAACTAAAAAAAATATATTTTTAACTGTATGAACAAATTTTACAAATTTAGTTAGTGTTTTACATAAGAATATAATAATAAATATTCTGTCCTAAATTTTCATTACATATTACTACGTAATCAAAACCCACAGATCTAAAAAAGATACACGACTATTATAATTACCTTTTAATTCTCGGGAACACTTCACTTCCAAAGTACCATTAAATGCCATTTTCAAATCACTTTTTTGATCTCTGGTAAACACCCGTTGAAAAGTTTGCTTAAATAGGGAAGAATTAAATGAATCCCCCATTACCATATGTCCCCCAGTAGAATTACAACACTGCTTCATTTCCATTAGACCTGTCTGATCCAAAGCACAAGAATAAATATCAACAGAGTGACCATTAGTAGCGGCTCTCATTGCTAACGCATCATAATGTTTAATACCTTTCTTCATATATTTTGCATTATCTTTCTGAATATCGTGATGTGATCTAAAATAAAGCATTTTGTACAACTATGCAGTGTTGGTCAAAAGTCCATTCCACTCTCGTATCTTTTGAACGGTTATACTTATAATAGTGAAATTTGGAGGAAGGTAATAAACAGACGTAAGCTTCTTAAACTAGTCATAACAAGTGACGTAATAAGGACAGATGACGTTACAGCGGCACTGTGACAGTTCATTTTAAATAGAACCTTATGGCAAGGGATACCTCGTTTGAAAGGTATTGAAAATACCTATTCAACCATACTAATTTTATTTAAGTTTGAGCTCATTTTGATGAATAAATTAAATAAATACTAAAATTGTAGTTTCTCATTTAATTAATAAATATTAAAACCTCCGCCTCTAGTTACTTGTCAAAAAGTTGATAATTAATCAAAAGCGAATGTTAGAATATATTAATTAAATGCGAAACTACAATTATTTTAATATACCTATTCAATCATACTTATTTTGTCGGGATTTAAAATGATTTTGACGAATAAATTAAATAAATACTAAAAATCTAGTTTGGCATTTAATTAATAAAAATTCTAACGTCCGCCTTTGGTTATTGGTCAAAAAGTTGACGTTTGTTAATTCTCTAGTTGTTTTCAGTTTGCAAAAACGTTTATAGCTCAATATTTAGTTTCTGTTTCTGCTTAGTTTAGTCAATTCTCTAGTTATTTTTAGTTTGCAAACGCGTTTATACCTGAATATTTAGTTTCTGTTTAGTTTAGTCAAGTTGTTCTTAATTAATATTTAGTTTAATGATTGTTTAACGAGACGTTTAAATGTTTACAAAGCAGAATGGTACATACTGTAATCGACAAAGCAGCAGCTGTGTTAAGAATTGGTGAATGTGGAAATAATTTCCGGAAATAATAATTAGCGGAACATCTTTTTAATGAGAGGTACCCCGATTGCCCCACATCGAGAGCTTATTTGAGGAAGCTTCTTCGAAAGTTTAAACAAACAGGTAGTGTTCAAGATGTCACACGATCTGGTCGCCAACAATTAGTGGTGACAAAAAAATTGATATAATTTCAGAAATGGTAGTGAACCCTACTTCTTCTACAGCCCAAGTTACATCTATCTATGGACTCAGTCAAAAGACAGTACACCGAGTGTTGGATGAAAACAAATTTCATCCATACAAATTAAAAATTGTGCACCTGCTTACAGATGATGGTCCGACCGAAGATTAGAATTCTGTGAAAATATGTCCAATAAAATTAACCAACAACCCGATTACATAAAAACAATTTCTTTTAGTACGAAAGTACTTTTTCTCTCAATGGAAATGTTAACACATAAAATCATACAATGAGAGTGAATGGAATAGGAGTGAATTGGAGAAAAAAAAATGTTTAGGCAGGTATTTTGGGAAACCACATAGTTGGGCCTGTTTTTCTCAATACTAACGTAACTGGTGAAGCGTATCTTGAGATGTTACAAAATGCAATTGAACCGTTAATTCTTGAAATTCTGGAGGATAATCCAAATAAATTCGGCAACTTGGAAATAACGTTTCAACAAGATGGTGTTCCTGCACACCACTATGGTGCAGTAGTAAGATGTTGCCTAGATGAGGAATATCCTGCTAGATGGATTGGACGAGAAGGTACGTTAGAATGGTCAGTTCGATCACCGGACCTCACACCATTAGATTTTTTTTCTGTGAGGATACTTGAAATCTAAAGTTTACGTTACAGCACCCGACAATAATTATTGACATTTTTAAACAACGACTTACTATAAGAACTTTTTGTTAAATATTAATTAATTAAATGAGAAGCTACAATTTTAGTATTTATTTAATTTATTCATCAAAATAAGCTTAAACTCAAAACAAAATTATTATGACTGAATAGGTATTTCAATACCTTTCAAACGAGGTATCACATTTAAAATTATCTGTCACAGTTGCGCTGTAACGTTATCTGTCACAGTGGCGCTTTAACGTCATCTGTCACTATTACGTCACTTGTTATGACCAGTTAAGAAGCCTACGTCTGTTTATTATAACACCAAACTTCACTATTATAACAACCGTTCAAAAGATATAAAGATACGAGGGGGGGGGAACAGACTTTTGACTAGCACTGTATCAATTTTTTATTCCAGTAATATGAAAAACAATTTTGAACAAAGAGCGTAATCTTTCATGAACTGTGCTTGGTATGAACAATATAAATAGCGGACATATTGAAGATGCACGTTGAGTTAGCTAAAGAATGACTTTTGTTGCATCGGCTTAGATAATATATGCCTTAGCTGCAAAGAAATGTCACAAATTTCAGTCTAAAGCATATAAACGCTGAAAATGTAATTGTGAAAGACTACACACATTAATATTTTTCAAGTAAGTTTAAGATTATACTTACCTAATGGGTTGTTTTAAATCATCATTAACTACCTGACCAGGTCCTTGTGAGCAAGGTCCTCCAACAAATAGCATAACTCGAGCGCCAGTATTGGAATATGTACATTCTAACAAACCAATTGCAATTGATAAAGCTACACCTGTAGATCTTAAATACCTTTTACCCTGATGAACAGGCCAAGGATCTTTCTGCTGTTCTCCTATTAAGTCTGTTAGATTCATATCACATTTGGATACAGGCTGTAGAAATCTAAAAAATAGGATTGGTTAGATATTATCACAGCAACATATCAAAAAACTGTGTCTTGAAGTAGGTACCAAGTAAAAAAGCAAATATATAAAATTATATTTGAAATCAAATATAAGTTATATACAAATACTCTTCATCATTTGTGGAAAAATACAAAAATTGCATATACGATTTAAAAAAGGGAACAAATTGGATCCTAATAACTATCAGCTTAACACCTGTAATATCTAAGATAATGGAATCTATTATTGCCGAGACAATTTCTGATTTTCTGGAAAATGAACTGGTTATACCAGAACAGCAAAGGACATTCTACAATGACAAATCTTCTCTGGTGGGTCAAAGAATGGTCAAAAGCATTAGACAGAAAAGCCCGGTAGACATTATTTAACTGGATTTTGCTAAAGCTTTTGATCAAGTTCCAAAGCGAGAACTATTACATAAATTGGAACACATTGGTACCTGTGTTCAATTACTGAAGTGGATCGACATGAATTTTAACAGATAGAAAGTTTTTTGTTAGAGTTGGGGACTCTTTCTCAGTTGAGAGAACAGTTTTAAGTGGGGTACGGCAAGGATCAGTTTTGGGCCCACTTTTATTCATAGCATACTCAAGTGATCTACAATTTCACATTAAATGCAACAAAGCTTTCTATCCAGATGACACGAAGCTATTTTCCGATCCATCCGTAAATTTCCAGTTACTACAAGATGACCTTGATTGCATATCGGAATGCTGCTCTACTTGGATGCTGCCTCTTAATGTGGACACGTGTAGTTCTTCACATGGATAAAAATAATCTGTGTCTTCCTTATTCTATTAATGGGTGCGTGTTAAAAACACTGAAATCACATAATGATCTAGGTGTTATAATTAATAACAATCTAAGTTGGTCAGAACATATTTTGCATATTTCTAACAAAGCTAACAGTAAATTATATCTACTAAATAAAACGTTTGCGAAAGTGTCATTTATGAGCTCAGTTCATCTGTATAAACTGTACATTCGTCTAGTTCTGCAATATTGCGAAACTGTTTGGTCTCCGGTATTAGTACGCGATCGTAATATTCTCGAAAACGTACAGCGGCAGTGCACTAGGATGTCTTTTGGTCGCTCAAGACCTACATATCAGAAAGACTGAATATGGCCAAACGTCGACTTCGAGGCGATTTAATTATTACGTTTCAGATAGTAAAATTCAGCTTGCCCGTCCCGTTTTTAGAGATCAAATCTGATGACTGGACTAAAATTATAAAATTTATATTTGAATTCAAAGATAAAATTCTGGAAACGGAATTTGGTTTTAAATATATGGTCAAAATTTGAAGTAAATAAAATAAAAATTGTTGGACTTTTGTACCATTTTGAAAACTCTTGTTTGAAGAACACCTTTAAAATTTTGGTGTGTTATACCAAGATATTTTATGTAGGTACATATATGGTGTGTTATACCCAGCAGAGTTATTTAAGCATGGTAGAGAGCAGTTCACCAAGGTGATATGAGAAATTCTTTGTAAAATTTGGTCCGAGGAGCAAATGCCTGAAGAATATAGCTTAGGCTTAATTAGCCAGTTACACAAAAAGAGAATCCAACTGGAATGCAATAATTCGCGGAATAACTCTCCTAAATACAGCATACAAGATATTGTCAAAAATTTTGCACGAGAGATTGAAGCCTTATACCGAAACGTTTCTAGGAGAATATCAGACAGGATTCAGGCGTGGATGCGGCATATAACAAGAACCAGGGTGAGAACTACGGAAATCTTAACCGAGATAGTAGAAGCAGTAGAACGAATGGGGTTACATATAAATCAAAATAAAACCAAATGCATAGCGACTAACACAAACACAATAGCTGGAAATGTTAACGCAGATTTAATCATCAATGACCAAACCTTCGAAGCAGTCAAGGAGTTCATATATCTAGGGACATCGGTAAACCCCAATAATAACACATCTGAGGAAATAAAAAGGCAAACTGGTGTTATCATGGTCTATCAAAGTACTTAGCTAACAAATGTCTGTCTCAAAAAACTCGTATAAGGCTGTATAGAACACTGATAGTCCCCGTTCTCGCATATGGATCAGAGGCATGGACGCTAACTAAAACAGATGAATCCGCTCTATTGATTTTTGAAAGAAAGGTGCTATACAAGATATTCAGAGCGGTCTGTGAGAATGGAATATGGAGGGGTGGATATAACTTTGAACTGCAGAATATCTACAAGCACACATTTGGTGGTAAAGAATTATGACTATAATTAAACGAAACCACCTGCAGTGGACAGGATATGTAGCCCGGACCCCTGAATCGAACATGATAGCAACCCGTGGGAATGAGAAGACGGGGTAGACCAAAGCTGAGGTGGATGGAAGGGTAACACATGATGCCGAGAAGATCGGAGTCGGCAACTGAAAAATGCAAGCAAGGGACAGAACAGAATGGCGTAGAAAGCTTGAGAAGGTCGAGGCGCTCTAAGGGCTGTAGCACCAAGATTATGATACCAAGATATTTTAGTTTCAAAATATTTCAACCCAAAACAAACTCCTTTTAACAACATGCCTTAATGCATGAGAGAAGTCAGAAATCAAAATTCATTAGAATGTCGTCTTGGAGCAGAAATTTATGTGTCACAAGTTTTTCCTCTTACTATCGAAGGTTCAAACATGCTTTTAAGCAAAAAAAAGGTTTATTGAAAATTATATTGTGATCTTACTCCTTAAATAAACTTATTGCTTTCATCTATGTATTAATACTTGATTTTCCTCTTTTTAAATTATTACAGTTCTCTCATAGTATAAAAATAAAAAGTACTTTGGGTTGATTTTCATTCTAGTTTTTAATATTTGAAAACCAAAATTTACCTGCTTCCTGGTGCTACAACAGTAGGTTGCATTTGTCCAGGTCTTAAAGGCTGTCCTGGCTGTTGAGGTGCTTGCTGACCTAAAGCAACTTTGCCTATGCCCAGCATTTCTTGAACCTGTTTAGCACTAAGGTCTTTTGTACCTCTGAACACATATGATTTGCTACAACCTTCAGTTCCTTAAAAACAAATTAAATGTCATGTACACAATCAACTTTCAAAAGTATAGTTTAAAATAACTATAGGTTTAAATGAAAGAAAAACACAATTATATAATTGTAAATTACTCCCTCTACAGTAGTACAATATGATCATGTGTTCTGTATAATCTAGAACTGCTGGAATTTGTAGTACAATAGGAAAAATGGAACAATAAACAAAATATTCAATACATACTAATTCTGTAAGTGTGAAGCATTAAAACTCTGTTTCAGAATAGCTATAATCAATAAAAAATTGACTTATTTACTAAATAGTCATATGGGATTGAGTTATGAGGATGCTTTATCAATGATAAGGATTGCACACAATCCCTTCTTTCTAATAGTCCAGCAACTCAGGCAGTCAATAGGATACCTCCAAAATCTATGGCACTGCATACTGATTAAGCTGAAAAGTCGGATTTAAGCTTGTCTTACCTTCCTTTGCAAAAGCTATATATGGGCAAAGTGTTTGAATTAAGTAAAATAAACAGATTCAATGATAATTTGTACTGTAATACAAATTTTCAACACTTAGAAACCACTGCTTATGAAGTAAATAATGTTAAAAAATAATTGTTTACCATTTCATTTGGTTTCAAATTTTTAACAGCTAGAAAGCATCCCTTTATGCAAAAAAATATTTAAAAAGCCTATTTATAGCTTAAAATGTTTTAATTTTTCATTTAGATAATTAAAAATTCATTCCTCTCTTATGAAATGATATATCTTTAGTTTAAACTCTTCAGCCCTAAAAATCACCCAAGACAACTATGACGTTAAGTATTGTTTTGTATACATATTAAAATAAGCAAATTGTGGGAGAGATGATGAAACTTCTAAGAGTAAAAAATACTTAAATCATGTGACTTTAAAACTCCAAGTTAGAATTATTGAATTGTATTCTCTAATACATTAGGATCTCCAAGGTAAAAACTTCATCAAAATGAAATACTCAAAAGTATAATTGAAAAAGAATTATCAAAATATTTAAAGTAGTTGACAAAAACAAGGCACTTTCTTTAGCTTGCTATATTATTATTACCATTAATAAACAGATATCAAAAACATCAGATATGCTGAATGTAATATTTGAAAGAAATATTACATACAAGACTTGAGAAGGAATTTAAAAAATACAAAAAAGAAGCGGACAACTTAATATACAATACTATTAACACATCATAAATAACAAGGATATTAATCTATAATTATTAAAACATTATTAATAAAAAATTTATATGTAGACATATAACCTTATGGTAGCTATTAACAATTGGGGTTTTTTAGGGTTTTTCCAACCACCTTTTATCTTGTCTTATATTCTCTAACTATAATCAAAATACACTTTAGGACAGTGTCATTGTAAAAATCCTATTGGTGCATTACCACTTACCAAGTTCATGAACTTGAACCATTTTCCCAAATGTTATTAGTCCTATTAAAGCATTAGGTGGCAACAAACTAAGGGACATTTGCAATGAGTCTTTCAGGGAACCAAGTTCCTCATCATCCATGCAAGTGTCAACAACATACAAAAATATTGGTGGTAAACATTGAGCTCTAGTAATTGTGTATTCAATGGTAGAAAACATAGGCATTAACTCTGCTGGTTGATGTTGTTCCGAAATAGCAGCATATTGAGGAGGAAACTGTAAAGTAAAAAATTTGTAGTGTTAAAAAGCCATTAGTATATATTTTGGTAGCATGTGCATCACATTATTATGATTATAGCTTATTACTCAGACATTCATGAGTTTTGATACCTTAAAAAACATAACTCAAAACTCCTGATAATACAGCTTTTCAATTTATGTTATCACCAGAACACATTGCAAAAATAAAAATGCTGCAGAAATCTTTCAATTGAGAAAGAAAATAATAAGAATTTAGCATCATGAAAATAGTTACCTTACTTTATGCCCTAACACTTATTGCTCTTTGTCTTTAACAAAATGTTTGAAGTATCAAATTGTTACTTTCTGAATGTCCAATAATATAATATTGCAATATAAAAAAATAAATATTAACATTAAACTTAAAGAAAACCATACATATCACATATACAAGTGGATGATTGTTATAAAAGAAAAATAACCAAATTTCAATATTTTATTTAAATAAAACTGAAACAGTATGAATGAAAACATTAGATTTTAAATAAAAAACACTTTCAATGAATTAAAAAAAATATTATGTTTACAAAAATTGACAATAAGTAGTTTTAAAAATATCTAGGAGCTGTTGCCAAATATTAAAAATATAAAAAAGAATATTTTTAGAATAATTTAGTTGATAATGACCTTAATGTAACATACTTGAATTAAATAAACTAGGGTTGGCCACTTATCAAAACTGCACTTGTAGGGAGTTAAGTACATTAGAGCATTTTAAAAGAAATTTATATGATATATTTGCAAGATTTATCAAGTTTGAAAAAAAGTGGGATTTTCAATTTTACGAATATAAAAAACAATAATGAAATAACACAAGCAAAGTTTTTTTGGACCTAAATAAAATATTACTGCACACTATAATTCCCAAAATATTCAAAATTGAAAAATTCAGAGTAAAACATTGAACAATCAGTAATTTTTATACTTACTGGATTTCTCTGGAAACAGAAGTTGCACACCCAGAGTTTTGCCCGATAATCTACCTGACACAATGGGTTTAATATGGCTCTACAAGTATTTCTAGTACATAAAACAGGGTCATATTGTATTGGCGGAAGATCAAGACGTTCCTTTATGGGTTGGTACAGACAAGCTAGGGGCACTACAAGACGGGTTGCTTCAATTCTGCTGGATGGCCACACATTCCAGGTAAATCTAATCCCATCTCGATCTTCATTTTGTTGTATATACTCTTCATATGTGCTCATTTTTGAATGTTAGAAAGTCGGAACTCCCTAAGGAAATTCCTTAAAATGTATTATTAGGATTCTATCATGTAAATAACACTATTATTGAGTTCCTAAAAAATATTAAACATGTATTAGTAAAATTATCAAACGTAAATAGAAAAAACTATGAAAAACTAAAACTTACCACCTAATTGTTTCAGAATTTGAACTTCCACGTCACTCGATGTCGTGTCTGACATCTGAAGTGAACGTCATCTTCAAGAAATGTCAAACAACAAACAACACTCTTACAAGGTGCAAGAGAAATTGCACTGGTGATATTTAAAAAAAAATGTTAATGGGTTAACATTGACGTTTTAATTATTTTATTTAAAAAATATTGATGTTTCTATAAACAGCATAAAAGTAATTGAAATCAAGTTCTCACTGCATCCAATAAAATTTGTTTTCTAACAAAATTTGTAATGAACTTGTTATAATATAATATCCTCATCTAATTTACATACCGAATTACGTCATCGGCGTCATAGCCCGTGACGTCACATGATACCAACACAAAATATTTAGGCGATAGGTGTGTTCTTTTTTAGATGACTTTGCCGAGTACACTGGCATTACAGCCATATACATATTTTATTATATACGCATAGAAATAACATTTAAAAATTTCTATTAATGTTAAGAAATCCACAATAATATGTTTCATTTATTTGTGTAAAAATGCATTATAAAGCGTTTTTATGAAGAACATTTGTTCGGAACACACTGTAACTGTAATCGAACGAAGGTGAAATTTTGACATAAATTGGTAACATTTATTTGACAGTTGCGGTGTTGACACTTTTTGTACTTTATTATTTTGAATTTTCAAGTGAATACCACTTGTTTTATATTTTTACCTATTTAATAAAATCGGTTATTTTAGAACAAAATTAGTGTGTTTTATTTAAAAAACAACTTAGATCTCTGACGTAGATAATGGCGTGCATCGTTATGTAAATTAGATAAAGTATATATATACAAAAAAAATTGTATTAATGGAACTCTTTCTGCATCCGATAAAATATTTTTTTAAATCAAGCGACATGCATTAAGGCATAAAATTTAAAAATTTACGAAAATATTGACTTTAAGTGTTATTCTAATATTGGATTATTTAATTTATCAAATGTTTATTTAAACTCCATGTTTATTAGAATTAACACTGAACGACTGTATTAAGGCCGTATGACACTATGCATTTTCTTGTATCATTTCTTATATCGTTTCTGATATAGAAAGTTATTTATGTTTTCTTGTATCGTTTCTTGTACGTACATTTTACGATGTATATTTTATTTAATATATAGAATTGTTACCATTGAAATATTATCATTTAATCAGGAATGAGAGCTTAGAATACGTGACAGAATTGACCATCTTAACTAGAACACAGAATAATATTCTGTGACTAGACGTTGAATGACTCCTAAAGTGTTTTAACTAATAAAAAAGACAGCACAACGTAAGAGAACTTGTGTGACAATACATCGAATCATGAAAGACCGAGTAAGATGGCAGTTCCATCACCAGTAATTTTATATTCTAAAGATAGATAAATCTTAAAAGTAGAGACCCTTTGTTACTGTCTGTTGTTTAATATATTAGTGTAATATATTTTTGGAAACAGATTTTGATATTCTTTCAAATAAAATGTCACATGACCCCCTTGCTATTTAAACAAATTGGGGGTGTGGTTATCACCTGATGGGGGTTCACCGAAATACAGAAACTTTGATGCCGTTTAGCCGTTTTTCCTGTGGTTTTATATTCTAAGATCTTGACGATGAAGGTACACTTTATCATTGTCTATTGTTTCTTATTATGTAGTCTAATTATATACAAGTAAATGTACAATAGGAGAATAAAAAATTAGGATAAGAACAATATTATCCGTATCATGAAATGTCGGATTTGACGCTAAATATAAGGTTTCATTTTTAGTTTCACAAAAACGTTTTAGTTAGTCCACAGCTGTGGTTAAGCTTAATTAAAATTATTAAAATGAGTATTGCAATTACATTAAAGGCAATATTTAACATATTCTTTTAATAGCCTGTAAAATCTAATGACGTTTAATTTATTTTAGAAAAATACTTTGTAAAATCTTCCCCTAGTAATTCATATGTCAAAGCCAAATGTCAAACGTCAATTCTAATTTTCTCTCTTTTTGATCGCTTCCTCAGCTAACGTGTTGTCGATAACACAAAAATAATTTTAATATAAAAAATGGGTTTCCAAAATATATGGTACTCTCACCCTCGTAAATATGGACAAGGATCCAGATCATGGTAAGTATATTCTTAAGTTAAAATGATTTTAACATCTTTTAATAAACACGCTTAACCTCCAAAGGGAACAACGTGTTACTAGGGAGATCGATTTTGCTTTAAGAATTAATTCTAACTTTTCCTCCAATAATATTGAACTAGAATATACGGTTTAATTTTTAAATGAGTTAATAAAAACAATTAAATTTTATGATGGGGACATTTTCAAATAAACCAATGCTGAATATTTTTTACGTCCCTTTGCAGATGTTTTTATAGTCTAATCTAAATAGTATATTTAAATTTAGGCCTAAAATCAGTGTTGTATATTCTGAAAAAAAAGAAATCATTTTAGTGGCAATGTAGCATCTAGAGCTATGGTTCATTTTTTAAAATACCCTTCATTTGAGGTTAAAAAGCCAGTTTATATTTATTATTTGGAATTAATTTTGCTTATATCTTCAAGGGAATTAAAGTAGCTATTATTAATTATTTATTTTTTAGCCGTGCCTGCTCAAACAGACATGGTCTCATTCGTAAATATGGATTGAACTTGTGCCGTCAATGCTTTAGAGAATATGCTGGAGACATAGGATTCAAGAAGGTAATACATTATCATCAAAAAATAGTGTTTCAATACTAATTTATTTTCTTTTTTTTTCAGCTGGACTAAACATCAGGGGATTTTTTATATACAATGTTAAGTTAATGATATAAAAATAAAAAATAATTTTTATATTGTGCATTATTTTATGTATTTCACCTTTGTATTAAAACCTTTTTCAAAATTTTATCCAATATTTTGAGTAGGCAATAAGGTTATAGTACTTTTACAGTGATACTTTCCTGGTATTTGTTAGAAAGAAGTGTTTTTGTGCTGTAAAGTAATCATTTAGATGTTTCATATGATCCGATTAACCCTTTCAGTCACTGTTGTCAATTGATGACACAAGAATTTTAACTTCATTTAAGTCAATATAGTTAGTCACAATATCGTCAATTGACAACACCTTGGAATTATTAACAAAATATATTTCATTACACTATAAAAAAGCTTGACTGAAAGGGTTAAATTCTTCAATGTCATTGTTACTAAACAAGGACCTATACTGTGGTTTTGCATGCAGCAAAGATTTTAGATCATAAAATTTTGGTTTAGAAATAGGATTTCCTTGTTGCTAGAGTTCAAAAAAGTGTTCACTAAAATTGTGGAGATATTGAACAATGGGTCTTCCTTTCCCATGTTTTTTAGAAATATCTTTCTATGAAAGTTTCCTGATTAAAGTAATCACTTTTTATTAAAATATTGCAAGGTTTTTCTTTTCAAAATTTTAATTTCCCTTGTTTTGAGCCAACTCACAATTTGTAATATATCATTTTTACAGTTGGTAGTTGCTTTTCCAATATTTCTGTTCCCATAAACTCTTCGTCATTCTGTGCACAACTAAAGGATTTTTTTAGAACATCCTTCCACAATTCTAAAGTAATCATTTACTGTATACAACTGTTGCGCAGTTTGAGTAGATTCGATATCCAAAATCTGAATCATTAGGTAGAAAACTGTGTCCTGGGAGCTAGGAAGAGGCAGAGTTTTCTCTAGATCAAAACAAAGTTACTGTATCAAGTTGATTCTTGGCTGCAAGCATGTCTTCTTTATTTTCTGCTTTTTTCTTTCAAATGCAAATCTTTTCTCAAAATCAGTAGTTTATTATTCTCCACACAATGTTTTATTTCAATTTCTAAATGATCACACATATTGCAAGTATCTTTTTTTAAGTTTGTTCCTGCAAAGATTGAATTTTGTCAAAAAATTGTTTATATAAAGAAAAACTCACTGGATTTCTCACTTCTTGGAAGTAAAACTAATAAATTTTTGCAACAGTTGTTTCTTCTGTAAGAAATTCTACTTCTGTGGTTGATCGTCTGTAATGAAGTCACTAAATTTTTATTTAGAAAATGTTCATGAAGTTTATTTGGTAATAAAGTATCAGTGTTACAATAATTCGGGGTGGTAGAAATATCCAACATACCTTGAGATAGCGATTCAAAGTTACAGGTTGCAATTCACATAAATCCATGTTATTCAAGACAGCGAATGTAGCAATATCTGCTGTTAAGGATGTTGGTATCTAATACTTAAGAAGTTGTTAATTTCTCAGTATGTGTATCTTGTTCCTTTTCCAAAAAAAAAACAGCACATGCAACTGACATAAATCAAGAATACCTAGATCCATTATTGAATTTACACTCACAAAATCTCTAACAAACTGGGTTTGTTATAATAGTTTAAAATGAATCTTGAGGTTGACCTAGAACCTGATCTATAATTTCTTACCTGTAAACAGAGTGCAACCATTTTATCTGTTCTCGACTGTAACCTGCTCATCTTCTTCAAGTACCATGTCCTTTCAGAACGTTGGTTATCATCATAGCTATCTTAAGTTGCTTTGATAAGTTCGAACTGCGTATCCACACTCATATCGCATTTTTTGTATATCCTTAGAAAGATCAGAGTGATTGATCAAACTTTTACCGCTTTTCAATTGATTTAAAAAACTTTTTGAATGTCGTAACTTCACATTCAAGAATTCTTTTGTTCTGTATTGTTCATAGAATTATTTACACGTTGGTCATTAAAAATCACTTTCAAAGTATGGTAAAGCTGTTTTTCTTTAGGCACCTGCAATTTTTTTATGAAAGTTAGCCGAGTCGTGCAGTTGATGAAGCCTTTCTACTTTCTAGCATTGTTCTTGATTCCTTTTCTATTTAGCATCTTTTATTAATGTCTTTATTGTACGATTCAGGGTTTCATATTTATCCTATTTTTCTTCTTCATGTACCATGTTCTTTCAGAACGTTGGTTACCATCATAGCTATCTTAATTTTATTCACTGCCAACATAAATAGCATGCTTGTATCAA